TCCACTTCTTGTCCGCCGCTGTTTCTAGCAGGCATGTATCAGCATGCCTGACGTTCACAGAGGGCTGCTCTGGGGAGAAAGGAGTGGTTTCCGCAATCCGGTAAGGGAGATGGGTTCTTCTCCTGGGCTCGCTCACCAGGGTGCACACTCAGCTTCTTGCCACCGCTAGAGCCCTGGCAACCCCCTTTACCTAAGTGAATGAAAACACACTGGATCTCGAAAAGGTATCTTTTTCCAGAGAGAGAAAACCCCACTCTTCCCACCCACTCCTGCAGGCAGGTAAGACACTACGACCCTCTGTTTGCATCTGAGGCTCCTGCAATCAAGGACAGGTGCATGGGTGTAAAGGTGGTCAGCACAGAGGCTCCTGAGCACCTCCTGCCCAGTGTCCAGCGGGCGCCCTGGCTCCGGGGGAAAGGGAAGCGAGGCTCACTGGCCTTTCTGGAAGCAGGCCCCGAGCCGCACTGGTGGGAGTATTGATGGACTCCCCCCTGGGAGGACAGTGCGTGGTGCGTGGCACAGACAGAGAGACAGACCTTCCTGAGCCTGCAGGAGGGGATTCATCATCGACTCAAAAGAGGAAGGAACAGCCAGCAGGCCTGGTGGGCTGCTCTCCATTTGCCAGCACAGTTAGCAAGACCTGGCCCAGAAACTTCGCAGAATGATTAACTGTGCTCAGCTCGGGTCCCCCGCATGCTTTCTGACACAGGACTCCATTTCAGCATCGGAGCGGTTCCTAGCGGCTGCTTGTGACGTCAGCTTAACTCCATTTTGCAGATAAAGGAACTGAGGTGGGAGCCCTGAACTGGCCTATCAGACATCATGAAACAAGCGGCAGAGAGAGGGATTCAGCTGAAATCTCTTTAGGCCACAACTCTACGCTCTCTCACGCCAGCCCCCCGCTTTGACTTCGGCAGTCCCAGCCACAGAGTCCTGGCCAGGGGTCAAAACCAGAGACTTAATGTTAATCACGCCAAACCCAATTGCAGCTCGAATCCACTGCTCCTTATTAAATTCCTTCCCTCTCTGATGTTGGTGCCAGCTTTATGCTGAACCTCGTGAGAAGACAGAACGCATACGCTCGCTCCCTCACTAGAATTACAAGCAAACACAGCTACACCATGTGTTCTTTTTCCATAACTAACACAGACATGGCGACCACAAAAGCCTAAGCCAAAGGATCTATGTGCCACCAAATGAAAACGACAATGAGGATGCCGGTGATACATCAATATGGGGTCAGATTGTAAAAAAGGAGGTCCCAAAGGAATTTAAACTTTGCTGTACACTCAAGGCCAGTAGAACCAGCAAAACGCTTTGGAGACCCCTCAGGACAGCTGCCAAATGGAAAAGATGACCTTTCTTGCAGTAGAGCTGAAACCGAGGCCTCCTCGTGACCGCGTCGCTGTGAAGGACGGAGTCAGACTCCAGAGCTCTTCCTCCAGGAGAAAGCGTCAGGAAGTTAGCAGGAAGTGAGGCCCCTGGGTCCGAGGCTGAGGGGCAGGAAAAGGATTGGAAGGGGCTGTGGGGCGTCGTTTCCGCGGCCCAGAGCCGGCAAGTATCGGTACAGTACTCTGAACCAGGACAACTGAAGTCGAGAAGAGACTTAGAACTGCCGCAAGAAGTTTGGAAAACTAAGAATTTTGGAACTGATGAGGAAATGAGCCCACACAAGAGATAATTTCTATCTTCAGACGTTCAAAGGGCCCTTATCTGAAGACAGGAAAGAGGTGAGGATTGCTCGGCTAAGCTTTAAGGCAAAAGGATGGGGAGAAACTTCCATTAGAGAAGGTTTGTCATTAGAAGACAAATGTTCTCCAGCTCATTCCAAAATTGGAAAGGCCACTGGTACTCCGGAGAAGGCTACGCATGCGGTCCCTGTTGTAAGACGGTCCTGCAGCATTGGGCAGCGAGAAGATCGATTGAGATGAAACGACCTTGGGCATGCTCTCAGAAGCGTCATTCCTTGAGTAACCGGAGTTCAGAAGCACATGCCAGACAAGAGTAAAACAGGAGCCCCTCACAGAGAACATTTCAACTCATGTTGAACTCAGTCTATCAGGTTACCTCTGCACCTAAATCCAAGTGTGCTTCTGCTTCTCCTTTCTGCTCTTGGATAGAACGATATCGTACGGTATCTCGGGAAATCCCAAGATGTCAGCACTTCCTGTTGGGCGCCATCGAGTTTGTTGTTACAGATCATGCAGGACTGTGTCAATGTATTGACTCTTGGGCACCTTTCCCTGGCTGCTGCTTCCTTCGTGCGATTGCACTGACCCACCTTTATTGCGCAGTACCTTTCCTTTCATGGGAATGAATAGGTGCATGTGATGCATTGTTGTTAGGTGCCACCCCAGTCAGTTCCATCACTACCCTCTGTGCAACTGAACAAAACACTCCCTGGTCCTGCACCATCCTCACAACCGTTCCTGTGCTGGGGTGGCAGCCAGTCCTTCTTCCTGGGAGCCTTCTTCTCTTTAGTCCATGGGAAAATGAAAAGCTCCTATCTTTTTAATGATCAGTTTAAGAAGATGGGATTGATAGTTTCAAAATGGATGTTGAAAGCCATCTTCTCAGACAGGCCCCTTCCCCAATCCTTCCACAGCTTCTCTGCTCAAGTGCTCGGCACTGTCTGCTTGCATGCTGCCTCTGGGGTGCATTTCACTGCAGGCCATTCGCATTGGGCTTAAGCAAAAGCAAAATATACACTTATAAAATGTATCACCAGTATAGTTAAAGCAAGAAAAACAGAAAAATGATAGTTTTAGTATGTACTACGTCAGAGTAGAAAGGTGGAACCTAAAAATAACCAGGATTTAAAATGTCTATATTAAAACTAAATTAGAAAATATAGCCTTCTATTGAGTAACTCTTACTTACGATGCTACTTCTCGTGAGGTACCAAAGGTTACTGGTCAAAAGCACAGGTGAAATTATTATGTGTCATGGTATTTTTCACATCTAGCACAGGGCAATGCTAGGCAGGTCAAAAAATAGAGGCAGGAAAAGTAAAAAGGGCAAAGATTTCCAAAAGATAAAAGAGACCGAGTTTGAGGAGTGCTGTGCAGTGTGTGTGGAATTGCACGCGGGATATGAAGCGGGGCAGATTGTGGGAAAAAATGCTAAACCAGTCAGGGTGGCAGGTAAGAGCAGTACAGGGTCAAAGACTTGATCTCCAATTGAGTCAGGGAACAGAGAGCTCCGGTGGAAGTGAGAGTTGAGGAAACACAAATGTTTAGGCATGAAGAAAAGGAAAAACATGATATCAAAAAGGAAAATTTAGAGTTAGGGGGAGACATAGGAGGAATCCTATGGAGAAGTAGGCCCAAGATAGCAGGGATGTTTTCAAAATCATTGAAACATCTCAAGACGTGGTCAGATCACATGACCCTCAGCCTTCAGAATCCTGAGACTAGAAGAACCACCACATTGCCAACTCGCCCCAGAGATCTCACATTAGAAAATCCTAGTTACAGTGAGAACACCACTCAAAATCATAAAAATCATCAAAGACCAGGCAGAGAGAACTCCCAAGGTTTATAGCCCTTACTCACTCTTGCAGCTTAGAACTCATTCGCAGGACAGAATATTCACCCCCAAGCGAGGCAGGTGTATAAGGGAAGCAAAGAGCAAGTTAATGAACAAGAGGATGCTTGCTGAGGGGAGTGGCATCGAGGCTGCCACTGTGAGCGCAGGCACAGCACCAGTGGGGGCGAGCACAGGAAGGGCATGGTGGCATCCTGTGGAACGTAGGGTAGCTGTGGGTCACAACCAACTGGATGCCACAAGGGAAACAGTACCACTGGGGGAACGCACACCCCCCTCAGAATTATTATTCTGGCCAACGGACATTTTGGTGTCTCAAATGGTAGACTTGTTCCTTGGGGTATTTGACCTGCTAATTCCAAAAGGGGCACCAGCTCTCCCTCTTTAGCTCTAGTCCCTGAACTCCAGAACCACCGCTATACACCACTCTTCACTCTGCTTGCCCGTAAAAAATCAGGATATTTTAACGTAGTGTTAGCTAGCCTGAGATACAGGAAGTGCATACTGGCTTTATTTAAAGTGGTTGGTGTTGCACTAATAATTTAGGTCAAGCTATATGTCAAAGTTATACATCTTGTGATCCAAAGATATATTTGAACAGTACAAAGTACATGAACTTGGACTTTCCTCCAAAGATCTCTCCACTTTTTTTAGGAACTGACTAGCAGGCCGCTCCAATTTGTTATCTTAAAAAGGGGCCAAAAATAAAAGTCACTGTTGCGTAAGTAAGGAGCCCTGGTGGCATAGTGGGCTATGAGCTTGACTGTGGACCACAAGGTCAGCTGCTCCAGCCCAAGAGCCCTGCAAAAGAACAGCGAGATTCTCTCCCCCATAGAGATTTACAGCCTCAGAACCCACAGGCGCTCCGCTCTGTCCTCTGGGGCCACTGTGAGTTGTGATGGGTGCAATCAATAGAGATTCAAATGTTCTGAACTCCAACACGGGTCTTTTAAAGTTCAAACTCCTTAATTAAACTGTTCCAGTCTTATTATAAGATGGCACCATGTCTCCGTGTGTACACAGGAAACTCCT